CAGCTGAGGGGGCGGGGAGCGAATGAAAAAAAACTCCAGTCAATATGTCAGCCTTCAAACGATAGAAGCACGGCTTGGATTTTCCATATATTCTTTTTTGCAAGGTTACATTAGTGGTTGAGCAGCTGGGACATCCGATGCATGTGGAATTTTGCAGATGGGCAAGAAGAGAAAAAAAAATGGCTAAATCATGAAAAGACATTTCATAATCTATTGTGGACAGTTGAATGCTTTTTGTGTGCTTTTGTAGTTGAAATGTTTTTGCTTTGCTGACTCCGCTGTCTCCCTGGGTGATCTGCAACCACATGACAGCTGCAGTAGCTGAACCGCATGCATCAAAATCAGGAAAGAAGCAACTCGTACCACCCATCGTTGTAACAGTACAGTCAAAGAGGAGAATCACAGCCACTGACATGCATATAGAAGAGTTTGTAAACCTGGGTTATTGTTGGCACCTCGCGATTTATGATCCATTTTTGAATTTAGCAGGCAAAGCAAACACTGTTAGGATTACCACCCAAAGCAGGGTAACATGAAACGTGGAGGTTGCAATCTAAATTCCACATGAAGCTATTGTGCTCAAACCGCCTGAAAGTGGTTGAATCAAGTCGTCGATGACGTTGACGGACCAGCTTTCACTTCACTGTGGAAAATCTGAGTTGTATATTTTGGTTCAACTTTTGCTTGGCTCATAACCGTGGCTATAATCAGAATAAAACATGTTTTTCAAAAAGAGGCAGATTTGGTGTAATCACGAGCATCGAGTGTCTTTGCTCGTGGTGTTTGAACCCTGAAATGCAGACTTTGTGAATACTGCAGCACAACTAAACAAATGCACTGTAAGTAGGCCATCCCTAAACAGTCGGCCCCCCTTTTCTCACTTCTACCCCATCATTACAGCTGGCTCTATTTATAAAGCCCATAAATTCAGCTTTGCCACAATACAAGGCGCCAAGTTACCAAGACGTTTGTTGAATTGGATGAGATATATATATATATTTATATCCCTCTCCCTCTCTCTCCTTCTCACTCACTGACTTTCTCTCCGCCTGCATTCTCCATCTGGTGGTCCGGTCTCTATAAAATACAGGTCATTGCAAATTCACACTGCAAAGCTCGGTGAGCAGCTTTCTGGTGAAAAAACAATAACTAAACATGTTTTTTTGCCCCTCCCCGTTCATTGCCACAGGAGCATGCTGTTGACATTATTGACTCATCGTATGTACACACATATATCGGCATCCCATTTCTCCCTTATGACATCAGTTCCTTCTCTCCCTCGGCCTTCATACAGGTAGAAACTGATGGGAATCATCTGGGGTTTTTTCCCCCTCTACCCATGGAAGCCTGTTCAAATTACCAGTCAACATCTGTGACAACATATGGCGACACAGCCCTCTCAAAAGGGCCGAGTGTCCAAAGATCTTAGATACTGCTCCCTTGTACCCACCCAAAAAGGGAGAATGACAGGCAGTGAGTAGTGGAGACTACAGAGCCATGCAGACGGTTTAGTGATGAGCACGTGCACACACACGCACGCACGCACGCGCGCGCGCGGCCACGCGCGCGCGGCCACCCGCGCGCGGCCACCCGCGCGCGGCCACCCGCTCGCCACTACACGTCTGACTCTGCTGCCCGGGCTTGCATTCACAAAGTAGCAAACAGATTGGCACTCGTCGCTGGTATCCTGCTCAGCGGGGCCGCTGTGCAGCGCCGTGGTGCCGCAGGTGTCTGCGTCACTTAGCCACACAAAGCCGCTGAGGGACTCATTTGAAATCACTCCCCTGCCACGGCAAACCACAGCTCCATCCGTTTCTGGTCTGGGACCTAAAATTATCAAAAGATTCTAAAAAAAAAAAAATGTTTTTTTTAAAAAGAGGAACCCAGCAACCGGATAGTTAACTCCCACAGAAGGGATTAGAATACAGTACACAAACTGTGTCTTTGCTTTAAACTACGCAAACAGACATGACCCATCAAGGTGTGTGTGTGTGTGTGTTTTCATGATGATTTGAAACAGGAGAATGTGAGACGACCTCACAGTCTGCACATTCTAAAGCGCACGCACCAAACAGCAGGCCCAAACCAGACTACAATGCCACAGTGGTTGATAATGCCGACGTTCGATAATATTCTACAGCCGATAACCTGGGTTCAATTTCCTACACTAATCAGGGTTGATCAGACAGTAGTGACAAACAAAGTAGTTACCCAGCTGTTCTAGAAACAAACAAGATAAAATAAACATCAGAGCAGATCGGTTATAATCAGTTGCTTTTACTATAAACAAGGCAACAGCAGCACACTCACACCCTCTAGTCACTAGCTAACAATAAAATGCTCACGTGTAGCAGCCAAAAAAAAGACATTTTAATGAACCATCTTGCTGGCTGACAGGAGATGGCAGCTTGCTTGATGAGAACCCGAATACGCAAGCAGAGTCTGAGGCGGAAACGCAAAACGCGTCCTCTGAGAACCGCTACAACCGAGGCAATTATCTTTTCATCGGCAGTTTCACACAATTGCATCCAGCAGGATCTGTGGACCAATTACAACTAGAGGTTGAGCTGGAGATCCAATTGGTGTTCCCTCCCCCACCTTCTCCTCGTGGAACCACCACTGGCCGCTTTGCTGCAGGGCTTGAAGAGGGCAACATTAGCGGGAGGAGGGGGGCTCACATGGCCGCCCTCTTTCAAAGACTGCAGAGAGCCGCTCTAGGACTCAGTATTAAGAGGCACTTTAAGGAGCCAGGGAATGAACTAGCTCTGCATTGCAACATCATTCGTGAGGGTTTTTGGTTTAAAAATAATTTGAAGATGTTGTGTCAGATGGGAAAAGATTAGATTCCAGTTTAGATGCCATTTGAGCACGAATAGACTGCCTCATGTGTTCGCATCTGAACAATATCGGTCACATCAGTTCCCCTTTTTTTTGGATTTCCAAAAGAGAAACCACAATTGACATTCGAACACAGAAAGTCTTTTAATAAATGGAGATCTGACTCTCCTTGAGGGGTTTCTCTCAGGGATTGGGATGTTAATTAGATTTGGAGTATGACAGATGGGAACATTGAATGTATTGAATTCGCTGATGGCTGATCCTTAGCAGAGGGTCTTTTTGGCCCGACCAGTCGGCTTACAGATGCTGCCCACATACAGACCACGCCTCCGGTGTGCCTAGATCCATTTCAACAGAATCACAGCGTATTATTCTTGTAACGGGTAATATTTAATTGCGCTAGAAATTAAGGAGACATGTTGCGGTCAAATACGGCGTATAGCATAAATTAAATGTAATCTACATTTTCTTCAATGTCACCTCCGGTTTGGCCTTGAAGAATTAATTTGAGATGCTGTCTGGATGCGCTCATGTTTGTAATGAGAGGTCTTTTTAATGAGATGCCAGATGGATTTACATTCTATGCAGAATCTTTGTAATTCAATGAAAAACTGTGGTGATCAAAACATGGATATATTCAGTTCTCCCAAATAATACATCTAGGATAAAGAAATGATTTTGTTTTGTGGATTTCAGCAGAGTAATAAGACTATTCTTTAAAGAACACATATGATAAATTGAGTGTGTGTAACGCTCAAGTTTATGCCTTAACATTCAGGAGGTTCATTCCCTCCTGTATAGGTTGATGCTCCACCTACTCCTGCGATTTTGCACATTTGCTCGACATCCCATGATCCTGTATCCTTCAGTCCAACAGCGTGTGCGTATATATATATATATATATATATCGAGGCCTGGGTCACAACATGTGGCTTATTAAGCACGAACCGCTGGAAGAACGCAGCGCTTTACAGACCAAAGTAAATCGGGGAAATGGAAAAAAGAGAGGAACTTCCAAGTGAAGTGCATATGTGCGTAGTTGCGATATTCCTGTGTGTGATTGTTATTTTCCACCACCCCAGACGTTAGTCATGAAGAGAGAGCTGGGTCCTGCAGCTTGTGTGGCAGATTTGGTTGCCGTGTTTAAGAAACAGCTACAACACTTCCAATACAGTCTCTGTGTGCGATTCTGAATACACGACACGTGGCATCAATTTCAAGCCTTTCTACCAATTGTTGAACTCTACAGTGATATGGTGGCAGTGGTTTCCCATGAGCACAGACATAAAAGTGATGGGCAGTATTAAAATGAGTGTATACTGAAGGGCAAGCAGAGGCAGACACTGCTGATATTACTGAGCCAGACTGGGGAGAAAATCAGCGTTTAGTCATATATATATATATATATATATATATATATATATAAATAAAAATAAATTAAAAAAAAGGCATAGACGATGTCAAATCCCCCAAACAATACTGTATCAATGTGCACTAAGTATTTTACCTGGCAATCAAGGATGTACTTTCTGCATAAACTTTCCACCACCATGGGGGGCACATAATAACAGTCATGGCATTTGGGATAAACTGTGGTCGCCTTTAAGCCTTTAATAAATTTACAAAAAAACAAATGGATAAAACTCAGTGACGTTTTCTGAAGTACAGGTGAGCCTCGTTGACTGAAACTACACAACACGGCTACACAACACGGCGCCGTGACGTGAAGGTTGGTCTCACCGCGGAACCAAGGCCCGGACGCAACGAGGCAGCCAAAGACTCAAACAACTAACGTTAACTGTGCTTCTGTGCCACTAACGGGCGACATGTCGTCACTCCGACGGCTATCGTTACGGGACGCGTGTGGCGGGGGAGGAGGGAAAGAAGTTAGCCGGTAAACCTCCATTTTGTCAAAAAAAATAAAATAAAAAAATGGAGAAAACCCGTTGGATTAAGAATTGCCAAATATATCCCAGCGAACTTCTTCACGTTAACTTCTCACGAGCTGGTCTTGTCAAGTCGGTGCCCGGCAGCACCGAAGCACGAACCACGCATTAAAAAAATGAAAATAAAACCTTCAACCGAGGTCGACCTGACGTTAAATATTTAATTTAGAGACAAAGTGCCGCGCAGGAAAAAAGGAGCATTCGGCGTAACGTTACCTGAGCCGGCTGCTGTTCTCATTGTCTCGGCGTGATCCTTGATAGCATTCAACCGTGTGGTGAAAGAATCAGAAAGGAAAAGAAAGGCTCGTGTTCTCCGTCGATGAGACGAAGACCCGACTCGTATCCGACCACCGGGGCTAACAGCGGCTCAGTCCGTTTTGAAAGATCACGAATCCGGGTTAGCGTCAGGGAGTGTGGGGGGAGTGGAGAGGGGGGAGGTGGGGGGAATTAACCGAGAGAGAAAAAAAAAAGTCCTGCGCGCGTATATTTAACAAAGAAACGGGGCCAGTGTCTGAGATTAAAAAAAAATAAAATAAACGGTCCACTCTTTCCTGACAAGACGGTGCGGATTCGGAGCGGCTAGCCAAGCTAGCTTGTCGCTACTTCCTTTTTCTCTCTGCCTATATAACACAAGGCGGAGAGAGAGAAAAAAAAAAGTTGAGGAAAAAAGGCACAAGATCGCGCACACTGAAGGCACCCTGTTGCTCGCGGATATTAACGACGCAGCGGCGCCCCCTGCCGGATGCAGGCGGTGGTACTACATGGTGTCACGAGGAGGGGGCGGGGCTCAGGTGATGTAGTCAGGTACGTATGACGTAGTTTAATGCTGTTTGACTTTTGCTGTCTGATGCTAATGTGAACGCAATATTCCAAGTTGTATTTTACTCGCACTCTGGTGTTGTGTCATTGTTTTCTGATTTGTACTCAGATTTTACCTTTTGCTTCTATAAAAACGTCAAAGGCTTTTATTTGAGGTATTGGATTTTTTTGCAATTTGTGGTATGTTAAATATATAGCCAACCAAAATTAATACAGAGTTGATATTGGGATGTTAAGCTGTCTGTGTCTGTGGTCTGTATTTATTGTAACTGCGCAACGTTGTGACATTTCAGGATTTCACTGAGCTTCAAATGGTCCAGCAGTGATGCGCCATGATTTCTTCTCAACAGGAAAATTGTTGTAATACTGCTTTGTGGCCAATAGATGTTGACTGTACACAAGAGATATGTCAATTAATAAATTGCACTGAACGGCCAGATGGTGTCACCATGTAAATGAAAAAAAGCTTTGTATTGTGAAAAATGCCTTCTGAAACAAGAGATTGCTTGCTTTTAACTGTCTCCATCATAGCAGCATCTACTAACCACTAATGGCACACAATGGTTTATGGCATGCAGACCTATGTAGCCCCGCTCCTCGTCTCTGCTTAAAGCTGGTGGCTCAAGAACCAAACAGTGGGATTTGCATGTCATGTCATGTTTCATTTCCTTATGGACATTTTACCATGAGGCTGGGATGCTCGATAGCCGCTGTATTACTATGACCAGAAGTCTTCATATTCCAATATGAAATAAAGAGCTTGAAACGTGTTGCCACGTATAAAGTAATACAGCAGTTATTTAGTTATTTCTAGTTATTTAGTCTATGAGGACAATATCATGGGTTCTATGCTTGAACAAAGATTAAAGATGATTTATTACATCATGTTGAACACACGCGACTTGCAGTCTGTTTTATTAAATTACACTTGAGCATGAACATTTTCCTCATTTAGATTTAATAACTTTTAATCCCTCTGCATTCATACATTTTCATAGGTGATTGATTCAAATCCAGTCGGACCGCCTTGGCTGTTTTGCGGAGACTTTGCATATTGGCTCCCTCCCAAAGGAATCCTAGATGACTGGAGGTTTGACAGACCAGCAACCTGTTTGCATGCTCTGTCCCCAAGTGCATTTTGGGATCAGACCCCCCCAACTGAACTCTGAACAGACATAGAGTCCCGGCACTGACTTGTAGTCACACGGGCAATTTTGTTTTAGAGCCACGACAGCAAAATCTACAGCTCTCGCTCTGCTTATCAGACTCACGCTTTGTAGTAACTGTGCTGTTTGTGGTCATATGCTCATGGTAAAGGGCGTTTTTGACGGTTTTGGGTGTTGTTTACACCTCGGGTTGCAGAAGCCTGCTGTGGATTCAGTGGTGTTTTTCAAATTCAAAATGAGCAAAAAACATGCTTTCCACAGTGTCATCAGATGTATGTATGGGAGCATCCTTTATTAAAATGATCACTATATGACTTGGCGATGCATGTCTATATTAGTTTTACAACTCAGAACTAAAAAGGAGAAGTTAGGTATTTTGGTTAAGCGGGGAAGGCCCCTGAATCTCACACCCTCTTACTTTTGTACTACGTAGGTCAGTGGCTGTTTACATCTGTATTTCTGTCTTGCCCTTCCTTTCTTGCTTTTGAACAAATGAAGTGGAGACCTGTTGAGTGAAATCACAGCTTTGCGATGGACATAGAGGATGACAAATAAAAAAGAAATTTCTATTATCATTAAAAAAAAATTTAAAAAATTGTAATAAAACAAAAAACAACACTTTCTTAGAGAAACATCGAGCTATGATTTTAGTTTAATTTGCTCAAATGTATCTTTTGACATTTTTCCAGACCACTTGAGTCAGTTTTTGAAGGATTTGATAAATGATAAGTATAGTGCAGTGGTACAATTAGAGGCTACTTTGCTGATAAAATCTTTGAACACTCCACTTCGAAGGACAAATCTGTTTGGATTCGCTCATATTTGAAAGTGGTTTCTTGATGTTGTGGTCTGGAATCTTTTTTTAGTTGCATTGCAAAATGCATGCATGCCGGTTCTCAGTATACTATGTGTTTACGGTTGACTTGAAAGTGTCACGGTCGTATGCCACTGCCTGTCTTATGGCATGTGGTTATGGCCTGCTGCTGCGGGCTTAGACGTTTGCTGAAGTCAAGCGTGCCTTGCACGGTGCCAGTGAGAGTGGGGAACGAATGTGGCACGTCGGTTCAAAGCAGCTGTGTGAGGAAATAGAATGAAACCCTCCATCAGCAGGGAGGGGCACATTTGCCATCCTGTTTCTCTACTTAGAAATAATCAGAAAAACATTATTTGAGGCTTTTGTAATAACCCAGCTTTGGCTTGCCGCCATATGGTCTTGTAAGTGCACGTGAGATTCTTGCCACACATCCTGAAAACACACACGAGTTATGTTACATTTACGTTTGCCAGAGCCTTTCTCGTAGAAGTCACCGTGAGGGCAACTTGAGCAATATGACTGGATGTGTTGTTGTAGTGAAATCTGTAAGGGGTCCTGGGAAAACTTGTTGATTTTGGTGCACCTGAAAAGTTGTGGAGAATCTTTAAATATCAGTAAGAGTAAATTCGTTTTTGTGAAATAGATAAATTACAAGGCCAACAATTTTCTTTTTTCAAGGTAATGGAACATGTTGCATGTTGTGTGTGTGTGTGTGTGTGTGTGTGTGTGTGTGTTTGTGTGTGTGTGTGTGTGAGTGCGTTCTGGGTGTGGTGCACCTAGCCTTATTGGGCTTACTTCCCCAATCACCATCACTCAGCATCTCCACCAACAGACAGAGTAAGTACTCGCCACTGCTCCGCATTCACATCACTAGAACTTTAATTGGATTTCATCAACATATTATAGATGACAATGCAATATGGACGGTTTTGAACAGATTTGCTAATTCCTGCTAAAATCTCAGGGTACAACATAAAGTGCTTGATGCATTAGGGAAAAAAATGTTTTTACCCTTTAGTGTAAATAAATATAATCCTTTGAAAAAAAACAGTTCATGTTTTTTCAATCATTTTGGGTTAATCTATATCAATTTATGTCACTGGAGAAAAGGTAAAAGTATGCTTTTGTCATATTTGCATTTAGTTATCATTAATATATTTATTATTTTAGCCGGGTAAATCGTTCGGTATTGGTATTGGAAATTTCATTGAAGCATTGTCCAGCATGTATGAAAGAAAACATGTGCATTTCCTTCACGTGGTGATTTAAATGCCCTCTGCAGCTGCCTACTCATCTGTGCAAACCGCAGAAAGGAGTGTTGTTACGCATGAAGCAGGCATTTTAAATGCTGCCTTTTAAATTGATTGGACCGCCTTAATGAGGATGCGCAGTCGTGAGCGAGGGGAATTGTGTTTTTTAAATTGTTTTCAGATTGGTGCTGTGATGAAATTGTTCTTAAACCCTCTTCCTTTGCCTCTCAGGTTTGTGTCTTGTACACAGGCAGAGCTGCAGTGGTTAGAGTGTGATGATAGCCTGTTCGATAACAGGAGTTCCACACTAGTTCCCCTGCAGCACGTACATTCTCGACTCAGCCCTTTTGGACCGGCACAGCTGCTGCTGCTATGAGTGTCTTCTCCTCCTTCACCTCCTCCTCTTCCTGCCCCCAACTGTACCACTTACCCAGTTACCCCGGCAACACCACCTTATCGAACGCCACCACCGCAGCCAACGACGTCAACCATGTGATCCTGCGTCATTACAACCACACCGGGCGCCTGCAGAACAGGACCACCTCGGACCCGCATAACTACATCAGTGCCTCCATGGCCGTCTTCCTCTTCTTCAGTATCTTCATCATCTTGGAGAATCTCCTGGTGCTGGTGGCCGTCATCTCCCGCATCGCCCACAGCCGGCGCTGGGTTTACGTCTGCATTGCCAACATCACGCTCAGTGACCTCCTCACCGGCGCTGCCTACCTGGTCAACATCTGCATGTCCGGCAGCCAGACGTTTCGCCTCACGCCGGCCCTCTGGCTCTTCAGGGAAGGGGTGCTGTTTGTGGCCCTGGCTGCGTCCATATTCAGTTTGCTGCTGATCGCTGTGGAGCGTTACACCACCATGATAAAGCCCTTGCCCCAGAAGGCAGCGAAGAAGACCTACTGCAGGATCTATGGCTTGGTGGCGCTTTGCTGGATTTTGGCGATGGTGATTGGCTTTCTCCCCTTGTTGGGCTGGAACTGCGTGTGCAGCCTGGACGGATGCTCCACGCTACTTCCTCTCTACTCCAAGTCCTACATATTTTTCTCTCTCATCATCTTCTTCCTCATCCTTCTGGCCATCGGCGTGCTCTACGGGGCCATCTACTGCCACGTGCACAAGAGTGCACAGCTGGGCTCCCTGCGCAGTCGCAAGCGCTCTTTGGATCTGCTCAGGACTGTGATCACCATAGTTGGAGTCTTCATGCTGTGCTGGGGGCCACTGTTCCTGCTGTTAATGGTGGACTTCTTCTGCGACTCCCGGCAGTGTGCGCTGCTGTTCAGCGCTGACTTTTGCATCTCCCTGGCGGTCTTGAACTCTGGCCTGAACCCCGTCATCTACGCCTTGGGCAGCAGCGATATGAGGAAGGCCATCGCTAAGCTGCTGTGCTGCTGCTGTCTGAAGGCCGGTCTCTGTCGCCCAGACACCTTCACATCCAAGGAGACCAGCAGCACCTCAGGGAGCAGGAGGGACAGTCTGAGGAACAGTTTTAACAAGGTCAGGAACCTGAGCGTGGCCTCCCCACCAGCGACTCCAAGCAAGCCTCGCAAGGCACCCAAAAAATATAGGCTGA